TCCCTGCCCCCCCCAACGTCTCGAGTGTAACTTTCCCATGGGGAAGTGGCTGGTGCGGCGAGTCGGTTCCTCCCGGCACAGAGAAACGAGCGAGGGGCCCTCCGCATTCCCAGCCTGCTTTGGGGGAAGATTTGCTTGAGGTCACCCAGCGTCCCCTGATGTTTTTATTTTGCGATCCCTGTGACAAAGGGCCGTGCTGCCAGGGAGAGGGGAAGCCACAGAAATGAGGAACCAGCCCTTGGAAGATGGGCGCTGCCAGGCTGGCTCAGAGCTAGAGTCCAGACCCTGCGTCAGAGGCCAGGGTGGGAACCCGCCGGCAGGCAGAGGTGGGGCGATCTACCTCCGGGTAGGTCTCACGTCTGGGCAGCTATCCCCCCGACAGCGAGAAGCCAGGCTGCGGTGAATCCAGGCCTGTGCCCCCGGAGCTGAGCTCTGCTCCTGCCCCAGTGGCCAGTTACCTGCCTGTGAGCGGGGGGGGGGAGGGCTTTGCAAAGTGCTTTGAGATCAGGCGCTGCTGTGTGCGAAGGAAGTGTGGGCTAGTGGTTAGAGGCACTGGACTGGGACTCGGGGGACCTCCTGGTTCCCTTGGGCAAGTATCTTCGTCTGTGTGCCTCAGTTTCCCGTCTGTACAGCCGGGGTAACCCCACTGCCCAGCCTCAGAGGTTGTGATGTGTTGAGCTACTGCAGTAAGGGGGCCAGAGAAGTGGGCGGATAGCTAACCAGTGTGTGCATAAAGAGGGGCAGAGTGACCCTGGCTCTGATGGGCCGTGGGGCGGGGACGCAGTGCCTGGCTTTAAGGGCCCTCAGCCTGGGGGAGGTGCCAGCTGCGAGGATCAGGGGAAGGCGAGCTGTGTGGCTCCAGGGCAGGGCCAGGACTGGCATCCCCGGGGATGTGTGGCAGACTCGCCCCCTGCCGGCCCCCAAGCAGGGGGCAGGGTCACGAGGACGCCCAACCGCGCCTGTTTTCGGAGCACGTGGGAGGCAGTACCTGATCACGGCCCCGCCTGCTGGAGAAGTGAAACCCCACGGCCGTGCCCAGCTCGCTAGCACCGCTGTGAAAGCCCCGAGCGGGGAATTCCTGGCCCAGAGCTGGCGCCTGGCATGGCGGGTGAGCCGCAAGGGAGAATTGAGGCACAGGCTGCGGGTGCTAGCCCTACGTGAGGCCCCGCCACACTGCAGCAGCTGTCCCGGAGCAGGAAGCCGCTTCCTTCCGTGACAGAAATGGCCCCTTCTAGCGCATCTCCATGGCGCTTGCAGGGCGGCGCTTCCTGCCGCTTGGCCACGGCCCCGGCCCCTCTCCGGGGACCCTCCTCCGGGTGCCCCTGGGCCCGCCCTGCTCCCCCTCCAGGCGTGTGCACGTGGGCTGAGCAGACGGATGGGCCCTTGTGCCATCTCTCCTGCGTTCCCCCCTCACAGGGGGCCAGGCCTCACCCCCCTTCCGGGCAGCCACAGGGGCTCATGTGCCCCTAGGTTTGAAAGGGCCCGAGCCCAGCTGAATTGGGGGGGGCAGGAGGCTGCCGGTCTGGACGGGGCTCACGAGGC